CAGGTCCGCTAATTTGGCACGGATCCGGTTAGCAGGCTCTCCCACGGCTGCGGGCGCGGGCTCCACCACGGCGGGCTCCCTCTCTCCCTCTCCCATGGCGACGGGCTCCATCATGGTGGCATGCTCCACCACCAGATCTAGGGGCGCATGGCGGGAGAGGGCAGATTCGGCAGCCGGCGGCGGCAGCGGATGGGTGAACGGCTGGGCTAGATCTAGCTCGTGGGCTAGGAACGGGCTCACCGAGCGGGCTCAGTAACGGGCTCACCGGGGGGGCTCATGGATTTTTTTGTTTTATTGATTAACCGAGGCGGATGTTCTAATGATCCCATCTCTGTCGTTTGATTTTCCCAGGCGGTTGAAATATCTGCCTACGTTGTTGGTGCTTAATCAAGACCTTTGGGCGCAGGCGGTTGAATGCCTGCCTCCAAAAACATTTTTGCCCGCCTCCAGAAAGAGTTCTATAGTAGTGAGCGAGGGATCCATGAGATTGGTGAGAAGATTGAGTGAGAGATGGCATTGAGCTTACTCTTGAGATGATGGAGCAACCACCAAGCTTCTTCTTGCATCCATGCATAGTGAAATTAAGAGTTAGGGTTGAGAGACGATTTCAAGAAAAAGAGGAGAGAGCTCTTTAGCTCACCATGGATGGAGATGGAGGTGAAGATCTTGACATGCTCTTGATGCTTGAGAGAGAGGTGTTGATAATCTTTCTTCCTTCTCTTCTTCTCCTCTCTTCTCTCTAGTTGATCTTGTTCATCCTTATGTAGGGAGAGGGGGATAGGCTGGGGAGTGAATGGGTGTGTGAGAGAGGGAGTGGTGGTGGGTGGATCCTACTAGCAATAATCTCCACTTTGTGCTGACATGTGGGTCCAAGGAGAGAGAGAGAGATGGACAGCTCATCCAAATTGATTCTACTGATTTAGTGATCAGGCGGACCTATCCTTGCAGAGACAGTGGAACGTTTCGCTAGAACACTGAATTTGGAGAATTTGATTTAGAGAAAGAGGTTTGGCATTGGGGTCATCTATCTTGCTGTTGGAGTTGATAACCACCTTTTGAGGGATTAGGAAGGTTGATTGGAGTATCTGCCAAAGTCAATTATATATAGGTTGACTAGGGTTGGCTCCTAGTTGACTTAGGTTGCTTAGGAGAATCAATGAGATTGATTAGTGAATTTTTGGGCACCTCTTGAAGAAGATGATGAGGTGATTCTTGGTTTAAGAGGGACCGTGCAAAGTCATCAAGGAGGTTCTCAAGAAAAGTTTCATTTGAAATGATTTTGGGTTGTGACAAATTGCATTTTCATTTTGTATTTTTATTTTGAATTTTTCATGTTTAATTTTTCGACAAACCTTTTCCCATGCCAAATAAAAACTTGACTTTTCCCATTCCAAATAAAAACTTGAGAAAATCATTTTCACCAAGGCTTGCAAAGTTTGGAGGGAAGAGGGGGGGGGGGTCGGCAGACACTACACTACTTTGAAATATATGTATAGTTTGATACATTATGTGTGTATATATAATTTTGCTATATATATACACATGGTCGAATGGGAACTTATATATATGGACAAACAGTAGCAGCATAGAATATGTATACAAAAAATTATTTGAAATAAAAACGAATTGAATAGAGAAGAAACCATAAAAGAAAAGAAAAAAAAGTTTGGTAACACCAATCGAAACAAAAGGTGCATGCCTCTGTGCGTGAGCTGGAGGCCTGGTCCCTTTAGTTTTGGTTGGTGGTATGTTCCAGTCGAATAAAGAGTTTGGACCTTTAGTTCGAGATTCGCAGTCCGGGCGCTAAAGGGACTAAAGGGTTTTCTCCACCCGAGCTGTAGGTCGTTTGTACTAGTGTAGTCCTGAAATTAAACTGATCCAGTCGTATTCGATGCATATCTCTTGAAACTAGTGCTCCTTCCACTGACGCACACGTCATTCTAATTTTTTGTTTATGCAAACGTACACTCACACAACAGCTTAATTTACACTAAACAACATTGTAACTCAACTTTTGTTAATAAACAACAATCACACATGCGTCATCGTGCACGTCTATTGTACTCTGTCATCCCTTGTCTCTATCGGATTTGGTAGTGCTAGCGCCCGGACATTCGGACAGATGCCCGCGCACTGCACTCTTTTTGCGCTCCACACGGGGCCCGCGCCACCCGATCGACAAGAGGGGAAGGGCGCGCGGCGCCTCTGATTCGGAAGGACCCAACCGCGGCATCGTATGGATGCCCTGCCAGCACCGGGAGACACGATGCAGCAGAAGGTAGGTAGGAGAGATGCAACACCCAATCTATTTTTGAAACATCCAAATACAACAGTTGCCACATACGTCTGAAAGCAGTTGAAACACTTGAAACATGCTTCTAAAACACTTGAAAAAACATCTGAAAACACTTGAAAACCATTGCAACCATACGCAACATCCAAATAAAACACATGCAACATACGTATGAAAACATAAGCAACATCCCGATAAACACCCTTGCAACATGTGTCTGGAAAACACAGATGAAACATACATCTGAAACATTTGAAACACTCGAAACATACGCTTGCAACATGCCTCTGAAACAATTGCAACATATGCAATATGTGCAACATCCCCCGATCTACTTTTGCAACATCCATATGAAACAAATGCAACATACATCTGAAATGGCTGAAACACTTGAAACATACATATGCAATATAGGGTATGGGGAGGCTGGGCCGGTCGATTCCGGACGCCAGGGCAGGGGAGAGCTCGGTCGCCATGCATGGTGAGAGAGGGCGCCGCCGGGTGTGAGAGAGGGCGCCGCGCCGGGGTGGGGGAGAGCCGCCCACTCCCCTACAATACTGCCGCGCAAGCTCCATGGATTTCGCTCGTGCTCCATTTATCTCGTCGGGTGTGGGGGAGAGGGCCACCAGATCTGCGGGCGTTGGGCGCTCCCGGTGGGTGAGGACGCCTAGGTGGGGGAGGAGGCCGCCGGACAAACGAGGTGAGATGGCCGGGGGCGCGACTCGGGATGGTGGTGTAGCGCGGGATTGGGCAGGCGCGCCGTGGGATGGGATGCAACGGAGGATAGCCGTTGCGCCGAGGGATTGGGGCGGGCGCGCTGCATGATGGGACGCAACAGAGGATGGCCGTTGCACTGAGGTAGAGTGGGTGCGTGCGGACGCCGTGTTGGCCGCGGCGGGAGGATTGCACGGTGGATGCGATCGCTGTGGACGGACGGCTCCGTGGAAGTAGTGGCTGCGACCGTACGAGAGAGTGGGGAAATGTTACAGTACTTAGGGAAGTTGCCTGGGCCGGTCGCAGGCCCATTAAGCGAAGCATCCGTCCGACGGACACCCTGACCCTATCATTATCGTATCGGATTCCTTACAACACTGAAATTTGTGAAAACGTTGTTTTCTAAAATAAATAAAGCATTTTGAATGATGACTCTGATAATGCGTTTGTCAACTTCCCATGCCATATTTGATGTTTGTGGTTAAGTAATGATATCTTTTTTGCAATGAAGTATTTAGACCTCATGTGGTATAATTAGTCAGTTTAAGAGTATCAATGATGCATTTTGAAAATACATGACCTGGATAATAATGTGGGACAAATTCAAGGATCGCTATTGAAATTTACATATAAGGCCCAGGTGTCTGAGGCCACACCATCACTCAGTTAGCATGACACACGGGATGAGTTCTGAAGATTTGAATATGATATCATATATTTACAAATTTAGTGTAATAAAAATACATTTTGAGAATACTAGGACCTGGGTGACCATGTAGGATAATCTCATAAACCACTGACGTGAAAAATTCTCATTTGCAAACTAAGAGCAACTAAGGTGGTTAGGCTTCATATGGCCAAATAAACTTACTCTCATGGGCTGAAGTCCCTGACTCAACATGGGTGCACACATTAAAGGCTTGTGTGCTGTACTCCGAAGCATTTTCGTTTGGTGCCATGAGCGTCCGAAGTGTCATATTTTGAACATTTGGAACTAGTTTTTTTCCTAATGAATTTAATGTAGACATCTCACTCTTAGAGCATCTCCAAAAGAGACCTAAATAGGCCCCTTACTTTATTTTTTGTGACAGAGTAAAAGAAGATAAGCTTAACTCAACAGGACCACAACTTGAATCCCTACTTTGCGGAGGCCCCCAAATCTCCCCCTCTCATCCATCTCCCAAGAGTACGTAGGAAGGTCCCTACTTCTTGGAATTTTTTCCCTTGTCGACTCATTGCCGCACGTCTTTATTTTTTCGTCCGAACTCTCTCCCACGCAGCCGCCCTATTCCCCTCCCCAATGCGCCTCCCCCAGCGAAGCCCTGGGCTCAGCACAACTCTTCTCCCCATGGCATGACTCCTCGCCCTCAACCCCTCCCCCCATGACTCAATTGATTGGAATGACGGTGGATGTAGCCGAATAACGAGTGGTTCACATATACTAGTGTCTACTAGAATGAATTTGATGGCCCTGATTTACAGACCACTGTTGTAGTAGACAAAAAAATTTAATACCCTCTAAAGTCAAAAATAGAGGGCCACTTCTCGAGTTGCTCTTATTTTGTGCTAATAGGAGCGAGCCGACTTACATCCATATAAATGTTTGCATGTGTACTATGTTTTTAAAAAAAGGAATGGCTAAAATTTACAATCTTTAGTTAGTGTAGGCTAACCCAAAACATGATTTATTTGCAAGAAGTAATATTTAATTTATATATCTATCTAAATATTTGTTTGAAATTTTAGTTCGGTTCCATCACATGTATCCTTGGTCCGGTCAGCGTCCATTCTCCATGGCCATGGCCATGGCCATCGTCATCGTCGTCTTCTCTAATCCAATAGGCGCACACTCCGCCGGCCGGCCGGCCGGCCGGAGCCCCTCTATTAATACTAGCCTAGGGTGCCCCGAACCGGCCGGCCAGCTCGACGCACGCACGCACGCATCCTCCGCCTGCCGCACCCGCCACCGCAACAAGAGGTTTAAAATACTCAGATGGCTCCGCCTGCACGGCCGCCGCGTGTTGGGGAGGACTGGGAGGAGGGCACCGGCGAGAGCTCCCCACCTCCTCGGTCGCCACGTGCGTCCGACCCCGACCGCCACGAGGTGCAGAGGAAGATCTGCGGGCGCCTCCGCCAGACGGGGCGGAACGACCGTACGCTCGCAGACCCCACCTTCAACGCCCGCTTCGCCCGCCACCTCGAGAGGTTGCCGCGGAGGTATCTCCTCGACCTGGACATCGACGGCAAGGTGGAAGATGTCCTGCTGCACTGGAGGATCCTCGACGAGTGCGCCGACCCCAACAAACGACCCGTCTTCCGCGCGCGATTCCTCAAGGTCCACGCTTTTCATTCTGAAAAAATAAATTGAAAGAAAAAACAGAGAGCAGCTCTTTTCATTCTGAAAAAATAAAGTTGAGAAAAAAAAACAGAGAGTATTGATGTGGTGTGGCAACGGGTTATTCCTAAGCGGCAAACAAAAAAGAGAGGATGATTGATTGTGTTGTGTTGTTAATGCTCTGCTTGCCTTGATTGATGAGCAGTATAAGACAGTTCCCACGGAGGATGACGGCATTGGCCATAATCAAGATCATGAGGAGCTGTGTCGAAAGTTGTTGGAGGACCTCAGTTTGGAAAGAAGAAAGACTGTGGACAGAAATGATTCCATGTCTATCTCTTCTTCTTCGTGTCTAGTAATAACTGGATTCACTCAGAAAGTGCTGCGTTCCTTCCTTTCTTTCATTCCTTTCCGTTAAAATTTGTTACTCAATTTTGTATAGGGGCGATTTAAAAATTGTCCTTCATGAGATCATTTTCTCTTCCATTGACAAGCCCAAGCTCCTAAGTCGGGTAATGCCAAGTACCTTATCAGTTCACGTACTCACCATTTTCATATAGCCTGCTCATCATATTTGATTCAAAGTTTCTCACTGCGAATAATTGTTCAACAGCTGACTGCGTTGCTCTCTGAGGTCGGACTGAATATCCAGGAAGCTCATGTTTACTCCACAAAGGATGGTTTTTGTTTGGACGTTTTTGCTGTTGATGGCTGGAAGACAGAGGTAAATTTAAGCGTGCATATATGCTTACTGCTGTGGACTTTTGAAGCTATCATCTCTATTCTGTATCTGAAATTTGACTATATGGGCCCAAAATTATTTAAAGTAATGTGTCGATGTAAATCAGTTAATACCAACTTATATTTTTAATAGACAGAGTAACCATCTAATCTGTAGTTTTATATCCTTTATCTGAAAAAAATCTAATCAGTAGTTACATTCTCTTGTACTATGCAACTATGCAAGGCTTGTCCGGAAAATGGCATTCATTCTGCAATTATTCATGCAGGAAACTGATGAGCTGATTGCAGCAATTAAGGAGACATTAACACACAAAAAAATGTACGACACACTACTATTTTTGACATATTTCACTAATTCTAGTTTATGATTAAGGATGAAGTCATGAATAAGCCATCTTCACCCTTGTCTATGTCATTGGTCACAGCAAATGCGGCGTTAACCAGCATTTCATTGTTAACATTTTTTCTAAAGAGTTAAATTATCTCCATGTAATACGCAGGCATCAGATCTAATTCAACAAATTCTTCAACATCAGAGAAAATAATTGACTGGAAGACAGAGGTAAATTTAAGCGTGCATATATGCTTACTGCTGTGGACTTTTGAAGCTATCATCTCTATTCTGTATCTGAAATTTGACTATATGGGCCATTTAAAGTAATGTGTCGATGTAAATCAGTTAATACCAACTTATATTTTTAATAGACAGAGTAACCATCTAATCTGTAGTTTTATATCCTTTATCTGAAAAAAATCTAATCTGTAGTTACATTCTCTTGTGCTATGCAACTACGCAAGGCTTGTCCGGAAAATGGCATTCATTCTGCAATTATTCATGCAGGAAACTGATGAGCTGATCACAGCAATTAAGGAGACATTAACACACACAAAAAATGTACGACACACTACTATTTTTGACATATTTCACTAATTCTAGTTTATGATTAAGGATGAAGTCATGAATAAGCCATCTTCACCCTTGTCTTATGTCATTGGTCACAGCAAATGCGGCGTTAACCAGCATTTCATTGTTAATTTTTTTTCTAAAGAGTTAAATTATCTCCATGTAATACGCAGGCATCAGATCTAATTCAACAAATTCTTCAACATCAGAGAAAATAATTGATCTACAACAAAAGGTTAGAGATTATGAAATTGACTTAAGCATGCTAGCAAGGGGTTGCAGATTCTCTAACTTGAAGAACAAAAGTCACAGGTGACTTGTCCCGATCCCCTCCATTCCTCATCCAACAGCTGTCTTTCACAAATGTTTTAAGAATCAGTCAGCCCAGCCCATTTGACAGCCCAAACAAAGGCCCAGCTCACGAGAAGAGGAATAGGCAGACTGCAGCCCCTAAATGTATTTTTGGCGGGTGAATGAGCAGCGACAGCACAATTTTGGCGCCAGATTGCGTGCTGCCCGGCGGATGGCAAAGCGCCGGCGATGGCGTCTAGACACAGTCATCTCGTTTCAACGGCGAACGGCTGCGGACACTATTTTGACGCCTGAACAGCGAGCGCGTGTTGCCGATCTGATACGTGTGGTGGCTGCAGCGATTTTTTTTAACACTTTTTATAAACTAATTTTAAATCTAACATTGTTTTATTTTTTTCTAAAACTAACATTTTTTGCCGCGCCTATTTTTTTCGGCGTGACGAAACGCCTGTGCCGCGCCATGTATGGTGGCGCGGCGAGGGGATGACATGACGACGACTGGGACGTTGACCGGTGACATGGCAGGTTCTGCTCGCGCCACCGATCTTGACACGGCAGTCCCACGTAAATATCACCCGCGAGCCGCCCTCCCTCTATCTGCCTGCCCGCCGCCGTGCTTGCCGCCAGCCCGGTTGCACGCCCACCCGCCGCGCCACGCATGCGCGGCGCCATCTCCCGCCCGCCGCCAAGACGCGCCAAGCGTCATTTAACGTCGAAGCGCGCGCGCGCCGGCATTGGCCGCCGCGCTGCGCCGACGCTACCAAGACGCGCCCGGCAGCACGACGACGCCCAGAACCATACCGCGACAGTACATCCAACGACAGTGTGCCTGCATCTAGCAGGCGAAGGTCATCGTGGCCCTAGGTGCATCTGTCGATACGGGACCCATGGGGTTTCCCACGGAGAAGAGAGAAGAAGACCTAGTCCAACTAGGATTCCCTACATGTAATCCTACTAGAACTAGTTACACATAATCCTAATAGGATCTCTACTTTGTAACCGACTAGGACTCCCGCCTCTCCTAGACTATATAAAGGAGGGCAGGGGTCCCTAGATCGGGGGCGACAGACATAACCGACAGACCTCGCAACACCACAACAAATAGCGCAGGGCGCAATATACTATCCACCCCACACTGGACGTAGGGCGCCGTGACTTTCTGGCGTGCCGAACCAGTATAAATCGTTGTCTCCCTGCGTTTACCATCGAGTTCCTGCAAACGCCGATACCCCTCCGAACAAATCACCGTCCCGGGTACCCCGTGACGGGTTGCCGGTGGTAAAACATCGACAGCATCTTCAAGCGAGTAAGATTGATTAAAGTCCTAATTAAGTGCTAATTTTGGTTTAGGAGTTCCTATAATTAGGTTAATTAAGATCTTGTCAAAGTATAAGTTCTAACAATTGGTATCCGAGAAGCCGCTTAGCCTAATTCTTGAACCCTAAGACCTAATTAGTGTTTGTTAAGATCTAAATAGCCTCGGATTTGTCTGATTCAAAGTTCTTTAAGCCAAATAAGAATATAGGGTTTCGCTTAAGCACCGAGAAGGAGGGGAGTTGAATCAACTTCAACACTAAGCCCCAGTTTTTGCCCAAATCCGAACCCTAGGAATGCAAATTACCCAAATTTGGTAACAATCCCCAACCGTAAGATCAGTAAGACGCTTTTCACTTACCTTAAGAACTAAGATGGCGCAGTCGGGCTCCTTCACGAGTTCGCCGGCGGCCACAAAAGGGAGCCACGCCGCCGCCCTGCTATGTGCGCGCGTGGTCTCCGCCCCAAAGCGAGCAGATCACCGCTGGGGCATCAAGAAGCCATGCCGCCGCCCTATTCTTTGGCGCCCGCACGCGCCCGCTGCGCCGGCCGCGCCATGAACGCCGGCGCGCCACCCCCTAAGGCCCGCCACGCCACGGACGCCCGCAGGCAGAGAAGACGAGGGCAGCTGGTCCATACATAGAAGTTGCTTATTTTTCTAGTGAAATTGTTTAATATGTCTGTTAATGTTACTTTGAATATATACATGTGCTTTCATATTGTGTTCCTATTGCATAACAAGTAGTTCAAATTTTGTAACGCTACATAATGTTAATTTGAATATTGTTAATTTGAATACTCTAACCCTTTGTTTATCAATTTGTAGCAGGATAGCCCCTCCCACGTATCACCAGTTGTACCCCCTTCTTGAGGTAGAGTACGACGACCGCACCGAGCACACTTCTTGACTAACACCGACGCAGAGGTGCCCTTGCCTCCTTTGAGGCCCCGCACGCACACCAGGGCGCACCAGTGGGACGAGCGTTACGCGCCGTACATACGGCGCGCCGACTTCCTCGAGCTTGTCCGTGTTGTCAACTATGGTCTTCTGCCCCTTGACCCAGCACTACTTACTGCAGTTGTAGACATGTGCGAGTGCCTTCATTGTACGTAAACATTCTTATAACAAATTTGAGGTAACTAACAGTCGTTCTATTCTTATAACAGGTGGAGGCCTGAGACCCACACGTTCCACCTACCTTGCGGCTAGATGACCTTGACCATGCAGGACATGAATGCTATCTTTAGCCTTCGGTTGGGGGGACTTTTAGTGACAGGTATAGTTGACAACGATCACTAGAGGGAGCTGGTGGCTTAGTTCACTGGCTTTCTTCCACCGGACGACGAGGTTTCCAAGAAAAATAAGTGAGCAATTCAAGCCTATTTAATACTTGCATTGCTTTTCTGCAGCCATCGGATCTCATTTTCTTTGGTGAATTTCAAGAAAAGTTCCGGTGTTTCGTCGTCGTGGATCACAGAGCGCTTTGATTACTTGGACCCACAGGCTGATGAGGCTTAGATCGACAGGTTCGCTAGAGTGTGGCTCTGGCACTTCCTTGGTGCTTTTCTATTCCTAGACGCCTCAGGCAACACCATCAGCTAGATCTTTCTTGACATACTACGCCAGACGTGGGATAACATAGCGGCGTACAGCTGGGGCAACGCAGTCCTGGCATGGATGTATCGATAGCTATGCATTGCCTGCCGTCGCACCTTAGGGTATGCGAACCTTGGAGGTTGCTCCTACCTACTCCAGGTTTGGTATTGGGAATGATGGCCCGTTGAGAGGCCCCTTGTTACTGGTTTTCTGTAAGTACTTCGGTTCACTATATTCTTTGAGGCAGTTACATATGATGAAATTATTAATGGCTAATTCATTATCGTGTTCAATGCATCATTGGAATGGGCAGGATACACTGCCTACAGCTCTGTATATTTGGACGCAAGCAGAGTTAGTTAGAGGGAATGCAAGGCGCAAGTACAGGGAGTACACAGACTGTCTCGACGTCCTGACACAGCACCAGGTTACGCTCTCTTTACTATCAAACATGTGTCTTGTTCGATGTACACTATATCACAACCTAACTCAATTATGAAATGTTCAGGTGCATTGGTGTCCTTGGGATGCTCCGAAGCTCCAAGACTATCTGAGTCCTATCAGTAGAGATGAGTCAAACAAGTATCGTTGCAACGTCCCTCTTTTTTTCTTCCACGTGGTTGAGATTCACTTGCCCATCAGGGTTTGCAGGTAGTTTGGAAGAATGACAAGCTACCCACCACCGCTTTACTCCACCAACCAAGAATTGCACGGGTGCGTTATCGATTAATAACAAAGCTACAATTCAGAGGTATGTATGGTACAACTAACAATCGTTTTGTTGCAAGTATGACCGCAGGAAGAGGTACAAGACCAAGGATTGACGCGTGACACACAACACGTACATCTAGTTGTGGTAGACCAGGGACCGGCAGCTGGTCGATGCGGGTCCCCCACACGACCAGCACACCTTCGACGAGTACCTGCGGTGGCTTCACAGGTCTACGAGGACACATATCAAGCCCCGTACACTGAGGAGGCGATTGACGAGGAGGACGAGGAAGACGTGATCAAAGATGTGTACGACGTTGCCACTAGGGACGACACACAACTACAGAGAGCCCCGCTTCAAAGATACGTGGTAAGATACTCGAATGGCATAATTTGTTATCCATTTGGTATTAAGTATGTGTACTAAAATTGTCCAACCACGTTTCTGTACCCAGGCGACACAATTGTCAAGGCTGTCCAACGAAGCAGCGTTTCGGCTTCACGAGTCTAGTGGGCAGGGGCTGGGCGTT